CGTGAGGTGTGAAGCATACCGACTTACAGAGTTTATAAACAAATTCTTTATTGCAAACCTGGCTTCGTCATGAGATGTTGATCACTTACTCGTGGAGTAGTTGGTTATTTTTTACCGTAGGGGTAATCATAAAAAAACGTTTCAGCTTAAGGAACCAAGACTATTTAGTCACCCCTAAGTCGTAATCTATCACCTATGGATCCGATTCTTGAACTCTGAAGAATTTCCTTGACCTAACGCTTTTTATCCATTTATTTACAACCTTTTTATTTAGCTTTTATTTTTATTGTATTTTACAATTGTGACAACAAAACCCTCAAAATAACAAGTTAGTCTAGAGACGTAAGAAACTTAAGATCTATGCAAAACAACAATCTCTAAAACCTGTAGTACACAAAACCCACCACATCAATTTTTTGGCGCCATTATCAGAGACTGTTCAGATTTATGATATTCCTACCTCTAGATCTCATTTAGTATTCAAGTTTCTTTTTTATTACTCATGAATTTCTTGTGTTTCAGGTACATGACCACTAGGAGAAACGCTTCCAACATCTCTCCCCCCCCCCCAATCACATTGAGATCGACATGCACAAAAAAGAAATCTAAAGATTAAGAAGACCACTAAGTATGGGTGAAGACGCAGCCGCTATTGAAGCTCAACGAAACCGCAAAGAAGCTCTTCACCTCAACAACCCAGAAGAATAAGTTGTTGAAAGGGAAAGACAACAATATGATGAAGATGGAAGCCCCATCGTCTGAGAAGTCGCCAAGGAAACAGATGGAGACGGAGGTCCATTCTTGCTGCGAAACAGGTAAGAACCTCTTAGAATCAATCTAACCCATCAATCCAACAGGAAAATCAAGGAGGACTACAGCCTGTACAACAAAAGGACATGATTCAAAACCGCACCATAGCTGATCATGATGCTTCTCAACAACACTCCCAAAATAGAGCTGCAATCCGAGTGGCGTCCTTCACGAGAATGACTTCGAAATCAATCCCCAAATCATCTCTTTGGTGAAGCAGAACCAGTTCCACGAGACATTTACCAATCACCCAATGGATCACATTGAGTTATTCGAATATATTTACAGAACCACAGAGTAATCAAAACATGTAAGATTATTTGAAGTGTAAGTTATTCTCCTTCTCTTTGAGCGACAAGGCTTATAGGTGGTTGAAAACTCTACCACCTGGATAGATCACCAACTAGGGGGGATGCAAATCTGCTTTCATAGTTCCTTCTACACGAAATCGATATCTAACTCGCTGAGGAACAAGATACAAGGTTTCCAACAAGGACCAGTCGAATCAATTTTCGAAGCATAGGAGTGCTTCAAGGAGTATGAGAGTGACTGCCCACACCATAGTTTCTCCGGTGCTAGTTTGCTCAAAACTTTCTATCAAGTTTTGCAAGCTAAATACCAACTGTCACTTAACACTGCAAGCAATGGAGATTTCACCACTAAAATGGAGCGCCAAGGATGCACACTTATAGAAAATCTTACTGTCCTGACTATGATCAAAATTTCCAAACTGGAGATTCCAACTCTAAGCAGATTTCTGAGGTTAAGAACATAATGAGCCAGCTTCTCAAAGGACAGCAACACACAATGAACTCGTCTGAAGCTACCATAGGCAATGAAGATGACTTTCATCAAGAAAATGATGGTAAGAATCCATACTCTCAGAAAAAAATGAATTACATTGGAGGACGTAACTCATATCCGAACCGGAATTTCAATAATAGATTCAATAACAACTTACAGAACAACAACAACTTTTCCTACTGGAACCTAAATGTGGAGAACCCTTCCAAAAGAAGTTCCAAAATATGAACTATGGAGGAACTGGAAACTTTCAGCCAGGACCACCTCTCAATGCTCAAACCGCCCCTTTCAACAGCCAAGAAGGAGGACTTCAATCTATGCCAAATGCATTATATCCGTCTAGAGAAGACAAGCTTGAAGGAGTGTAGTGGACATGAGAGTGTTAAACGAATTGGTCCTTTAACTATGTGAGGGCTTAAGGTTTGTTTAGATGACTCTTAGGATGTACATATTTGTTTTAGTTTAGGATTATATAAGCTAAACTAATATTAATGAAATCAGATGTTTCAGGAATGTTTCGGGGACGTAGACGATCTGCGGTCTTTGTAGGAGAGAAATGGATATTTGAGTAGATATGAACATAGATGCTCAATTCCAGAAAGTCACTAGTTTTATTTGACTTAGGGCATGTTTGTTGGCTCATTATATCATTTACATCCAAATGTTCCATTCAAATGCTCCATTCAAATGTTCCATTTCAATGTTGTTCGTTCTATTTTTGGTTGTTTATCTAGATGATTCATCAGAATGTAATTTAGTTTCTTTGATTAGTTGGTTGTAAATTTACATTTTCATCTAGATGATTTTTATAATAAAATGACTAAAATTATCATGTTTTAATCTTATCATATTTTTAATTTTAGTTTAGTAATTTCAATTTTAATTTGATTTAAAACTTATATATTAATCAAATAGTTTTACAGGAAAAATGTAATTTTTCAGTTATTATGAGAAACACAATTTTATAGTTATAGTGGGAAACATAATTTTTTAGCTGAAAAAATGCAATTTTGTGGTTTTGCCAAGAGAAGGTGATTTGGTGTTTGGCAAAAAACAATAATTTTACAATTTTGGTAGAAAAAAAATGATTTTGCAGTTTTGGTGGGAAAAGCTAATTCACAATTCTGGAAAGAAAACCTGATTTTGCGGTTTAGACGGAGAAACGTGATTTTGCAGTTTTGGCGGAAAAACACGATTTTACAGTTTTGGTGGGGGAAAAAATGATTTTCATGATGTTGGTGGAAGAAATCAATTTTGAGATTGTGGCAGGAAAATCCGACAGAAATACATGATTTTGCAGTCTTAACAGTTTTGTAGAAAATGCAATTGTGCGGTTACTCGATTTCATGTTTTTGGAGAAAAACACAATTCAGCCATTTTGGAAAAAAAAATCTAATTTTATGGTTTTGACAGAAAAATATGATTTTCAGATTTTTGTTTTTTAAGGATAATTGTAAATTATATCATCTAAATCATATTTATTTGCTCATCTGAAATTTGCATATAAATACTTCATATAGATAAGGATATTTTAGATATTTAATATTTTAGACTCGATATCTCCATCCAAATGATCTAATTTGGTCCATCCAGATAAATTTAACAAAATTACGTAAATTTTAAAAACTCATTTGAATGATTGATCACAGTTACTCGATTTTTGTTATAAAACAAATAAATTTTTCACCTCCGCCCAGATATGAACCAGCAAGAGAAGTTAGGTTTTATATTATAACTATATAACGCCAATCGATGTTTAGTACGACTTCACTTCTAATGAATTTTGAATGATGTGATAATTTGAGTTATAAACTTTTTGTGCAGCTTGTTTTAATTGAATGTGATATGAAGATAATTAACATTGGATTTGTCTCTGAAATGTTTTTAGAATTGCTCCACAAGATTTTGAGCAGATCACTATTGCCTGAACATGAGATTCATGTTTTGCAGCAACGATGGCTATTGGTTTTGTGACGTTAGGTAAGTGTTGGAATGGCAAAGTGAGATGCAAAGAAGAGCTGAAGCGATTAAAAATGCAATGAATGAGCAAAAAGAGAGCTTCATTCTATTGAAATGATAGTGCATAGAGATGATACAAGCAAAGAGCTTTTGGAATGGGGATCTGTTGTTAATATATTTCGAGTTTTGTTGCTTTATGAAAAGTAGTTTGTGCTCTTATACATCTATTTGGAGGATTTGGTGTATTACTTTTGGATACTAAATTGTTTTTGTTTATTTTAGTTTATGATTTGATTTCTTATATTTTTTTTGTCATATTCTATGATTTGCTGTATTTTAATTTTATTATTTTCTATTTCTGTTTAAATCTAGTTTATGATTTTATCACAAAAATTATTATGTTATATTTATATTTGATTAAAAAAATATTATTGTAATTGTTAACTGAACAAAACTAATTCTTATAAATGGTTAGTATAATCAAACTACTGTATATTGTTAGTAAAAAAAAGATATATATACAAAGTTATAACAGCTAAAATAAAATTAATTCAAAACTTATAATAGTCGTAAGCAATTATGAAACGAACAAACTTATGACCAAACGTTATGATCAATTTATAACCTCAGTTCTTTGGGTTATAAAAATATCTGCATAAGTTTGAGGGTCTTATTTTCTCCACACTTATAAATTTATAATTATTTACAACTTGATCAATAGAATTAATATCTCATCCCAAAAAAGTATTTTATACATTAAAAGTGATATTCGAAATATAAAAAAAAATTGTTTTTATAGTAGGATTTAAATTATAAAGTACTATGCGAGATGATTTTACTCTAAAAATAAAGTTTAGAGAAAAAAATATAATCTAATTAAAAATGCTCTAAAAATATCAGAATCTGTTAACTAGTAATAACAATACATTTTGAAAATTTCAACAATTATTTCAAAATATATCTTCGAATAACTCTCCCTAGATTCCATTTTTTTAATTTCCTTGGTTACAATTACTATATTTTGAAAATACTATAATTTCAATCTTTCTTAATTCAGGGTCACACAGTTGCAATTTTCATTATATATTATTGTAAAATGATTGCAGATTTCGATAAGAATGTATTGTATAAGATGAAGATTGAATGAATCATATGCAATCTACTATTATACATTAGTATGAAATCCAATGTGGTACATCCCTTGGATACCGAAAAATAACTGAGAAGAAAAGAATGGAAATCAATCTATTATAAAAAAAAAAAGATAAAGGACAAAATATGGAAATAAATCTATTATAAAGAAAGGAAAGAAAAACAAGTGTACATTAACTAGACTTGAAAGCTTGGTTTTATAAAGACTTACCCATTGTTCCCATATCTTCATAACAACACTCACTTCCCATTTGTCCTCTCAAGAAAGAAAAAAAATGCCGATCATCTGCGTAACAACATCTTCAGCAGAGAAAGAACATGAACCAAAACAAGATCTTGATAACGACCAATCTCCTCCATTAAACTCCAACCCTTTTCTTCCTAATCTCCAATCTCAAATCCCAAACCAATTCATTTGGCCAGACGAAGAGAAACCTTCCATTGATACTCCAGAGCTCAACGTCCCTTTGCTCGATCTCTCGACCCAAGTCTCAACCCCAGACGCTTCTAGACTCATCGCAGAAGCTTGCACCAAACATGGCTTCTTCCTCGTCATCAATCATGGCGTCAGCGAGTCGCTCATTTCAGACGCTCAACGTTTCATGGAACGTTTCTTTGACATGCCTCTCATTGAAAAACAGAGAGCTCAGAGAAAACTCGGTGAAAGCTATGGTTACGCCTGTAGCTTCACCGGAAGATTCTCCACCAAGCTCCCATGGAAGGAGACTCTCTCTTTCCGATTTTCCAACGAGAATAGTGGCTCAAGAACCGTTCAAGATTACTTCTCCGTTACGTTAGGACAAGAGTTCGAGCGATTCGGGTATGTGTCCTATTCCTAAAGTAGAACAAAGAAATACCAAACAGAGCCAAACCCCAACTATGTCATTGTTTCCTTTGTTTTAGACTTTTAGTCATACTCGAATAAACCGGTTCCTTATACCAAAATTATTAAACCGGAAATAATTGAACCGGTTTTACAACTAATGTCCCCGGTTATGTTTACAGGAAGGTGTTTCAAGACTACTGTGATGCAATGAGCTCTCTGTCACTCAACATCATGGAGCTTCTAGGGCTAAGCTTAGGCGTAAACCGAGAATATTTCAGAGGATTTTTCGAAGAGAATGATTCTATAATGAGGCTGAATCATTACCCCTTATGCGCACAACCAGATCTCACATTAGGTACTGGACCACATTGTGATCCGACTTCTTTGACTATCCTTCACCAAGACCATGTCAGTGGCCTTCAAGTCCTTGTTGACAATCAATGGCGATCCATTCTCCCCATTCCCAATGCCTTCGTCGTCAATATCGGTGACACTTTCATGGTAATTATTAACCGTCTAAAGACAAAAACACATTTTGGTTTAGTACTCATAGACAAATGATTGATTAAGTTTTGGTCTTTAAGGCTCTATCGAACGGGATATTCAAGAGTTGTTTGCATAGAGCGGTTGTGAATAGAGAGTGTGCGAGAAGATCAATGGCGTTTTTCTTGTGTCCCAAGAAAGACAAAGTTGTGAAGCCACCAAGTGAGATTGTGGAGAAGACGGGAGAAAGAAGATATCCTGATTTCACTTGGCCTATGTTCCTTGAGTTTACTCAAAATCATTACAGATCTGATTTCAGTACTCTCGATTCCTTTGCAAGTTGGGTCATTGCCAACAAAAATCCCATCTAAGCTGAGCCGTGCCTTGGGATGTTTGAGCCGTGCTTTACATATTTAATGTTACTGGTGAGATAAAAAAAATATAAAATATTAAAATATTTAATTTTTTTAAATGGCCTAATATTATAATATTAAAATATTTAATAAGAAGTGTATAAGTGTTGAAAACTAAATTAAATATAATATAAAAAATAAGCAAATAAATATGACAGCATAATTACAAAACATTATAAAGAGATGTACAACATAACACACTTTTTAGGAAAAGAGTGATATTAACATGTAGCCTTTTTTCTAAAACAATTTTATGTGATTTTATAATAATTTTTAGATAAGGAATATATGAAAAAAAAAATATAGACAAAGAAGAAAATGATAAAAAAAAAAAAAAGAATAATTAACTAACGTGATAGGATAATAGACGAATGAACAATTGATTTGGGCCTATGTAAGAAAAATAATTTAACAAATAAAATAAAATTCATGAGTTGGACTTTGGACCCAACAAGCATATTCATGAAGGATTGAACCTACTGAGATCATTTTAACAAAACTTCATCATTGCTACTTGCCACGAAATCTACAATTCTTTTTTTTTTTTAATTAATCATGCAACCCCCTCTTGATAAACGATTTTGAAACGTGCGTTATTTGAATTTCGACTAAAATGGCTTTGAGTTTTTGATATACAAAAGCCTATATAATTGGATGTGTAAAATTAGTAATTAATATATGATGATTTAATTGATAAAATTTCAATATATGTTGTAATTATATTAAAACTTAATTTTATAAAATATAAACTGTTAGAGGGGAAATGAGCACATTTCTTAAAAGGTTTTCACTAGCAATAACTTAAGCCCATCAAGACTAGGAAGACTGCGCCGACCTAGCTCATGAAAAGGAAAACTCCTAAAGATAACTTTCGAAGTCCAGAAGCATCGGATTGAATCGAAGAATAAAGGAGAATTTTCATATTCTTCGAAGAATAAGAGATATTTTCATATCGCAAATATAGAAATACTCACCAAAGAGAAAAAGGGAAAGGATTTCAGAGCAACCGACCTCCTATCCCTATAAATAAGAAGACCTCGAAGCTGAAGAAACCAACTCATACAATCTAGAGAGCAGCAGAGCTAAAACCAGAGACTCCAACGCTTTCTAGTTTACTTCGGAAACACCTTCTTTCACTTCGGCATAACCTCTCGGTTATACCAATCTTTGTAATCGCTTCGCTCTATTGCTATTAATAAAAAATCTTATTCTCCTAAACTCACAACTGTTAATCAAATTCTTAGTGGTGATTTTCTGGTTCAACAGTTGGCGCCGTCTATGGGGACTATGAGAATAAATTCTTAGAAACTAGCAATTCAAAGCTGAAGTGATGAGTCTCCCGATCGACAACAGCGACCTCATCCGCAACGACAACGACACCACTACGCATACAGAGACGTCTGGTCTCGACAAGCATGGCAACACCGCCACTGCGATCCTACCACCCACAGGAGAACACGCAACATCCAGCAATTCCTACATTATCTCAGGAGGGGAATTCGACGATCCTAGTTCGCTAAAGGAAATAAGGCATCAGGAAGAAAAAGCGGTGGACGCAAAACAAAATCCAATCACCTCAGAGAACAAGCACCAATAGATTTCACAGCAGAAGATCTACGCAGTTCGCACATGCCACACGTCAACCCACTGGTCGTAACTTTACAAATTCACGAAAGCACAGTCACCAAAGCTTTGGTTGACAGCGGGAGCACCGTCAATGTTATCTTCAGGGACACACTGGCGAGAATGAGCATCAATGAAGGCGAAATAACAACAATGGTAGAACCGCTAACGGGATTTGCAGGCGACACCTCCTACACTACCAGCTCGATACATATACTCACTTACATCGGTGGCGTAACCAAAAAGGCTAAATTTGCAGTCATCGACTGCCCGACTATCTACAACGTCATACTTGGGACTCCATGGATCCATGCCATGAAGGCAATCATCTCAACATACCATCAATGCATTAAGTTCCCAACACCGATCAGTATGTTCACACTGCAAGGCGACCAAGCAACAGCACGAATGTGCCTCCTCAGCGAAAGGAAAACCAGGACGGCGACTACATGCATGGTAAACGAGGACTTAGACCCACGCCTCCCCTTTCACAAAAAACCAAAGCCCGAGCGGGTTATACAGGTAAGCCTTGATGAGGAATATCCAGAAAGAGTCGTTAGCATTGGCGGCGACCTCACGGAGGATATAAAAATGGAGCTCGTTAAACTTCTACGAAACCACGTACACTTATTCGCCTGGTCTATGGAGGACATAAAGGGAATTGACACCAGAATCACGTCGCATAAACTAAACCTAGACCCTACATTCAAGCCAATAAAATAAAAACAAAGGAAGTTCGGCCACGAGAAAACACAAGCGGTAATCGATGAAGTAGAAAAACAACTCGGAGCTGGATCGATTACCGAGGTTCAGTATCCCGATTGGCTAGCTAACCCCGTCGTAGTTAAAAAGAAGAACGACAAGTGGAGAGTCTGCGTTGACTTCACCAATCTCAATAAAGCTTGCCCAAAAGATTACTTCCCCCTTCCCCACATCGACCGACTGGTCGAATCAACAGCCAGAAATCAGCTTCTGTCCTTTATGGACGCCTTCTCCAGGTACAATCAGATCTTTATGCACCCCAACGATAGAGAGAAGACGGCGTTCATTATCGATCGAGGAACATATTGTTACAAAGTCATGCCTTTCGGACTAAAAAACGCAGGAGCCACGTACCAGCGGTTGGTCACAAAATGTTTGCAAGTCAGCTCGGCCGCACTATGGAAGTATACATCGACGATATGCTAGTCAAATCCGCAGTCGCCAAGGACCACGTTGGCCACCTCAGGGATTGCTTACATTCGGGGTGACCTCAGGAGAATTCCTAGGTTACTTTGTCACCCAAAGGGGGATAGAAGCAAACACAAAACAAATTTCGGCAATACTGGATCTCCCATCGCCCAAAACAAAGCGCGAAGTACAACGACTAACCGGAAGAATTGCCGCGCTAAACAGATTTATCTCGCGTTCTACTGATAAATGTCTCCCCTTCTATCAGTTACTTCAGAGTAACAAACGTTTCGATTAGGAAGACAAGTGTGAAGAAGCATTCTCACAATTAAAGGAGTACTTGACCACTCCGCCGATATTAGCTAAACCAGAGAATGGCGAGACTGTGTGCCTTTATATCGCAGTCTCGACAGCGGCAGTGAGCGGCGTCCTCGTCCGGGAAGACCGTGGCGAGCAGAAGCTAATCTTCTACATAAGCAAGACTCTGGATGGAGCCGAAACTCGCTATCCGGCTCTGGAAAAACTCGCCTATCCAGTAATTATCTCGGCACAGAAACTGCAACCCTACTTCCAATCTCACACTATCGTTGTCTTCACCAGTCAACCACTTCGGAGCATTCGACACAGCCCGAGCCAATCCGGCCGAATGGCTAAATGGGCGATAGAACTGTCCGAATATGATATCGAGTACCGCGCTCGAACTAGCGCCAAATCTCAAGTCTTGGCAGATTTTATGATCGAAATACCACCAGATCTACTAAATGACGAGTCGCCTACCGAAAGCTGCTGGAATTTGTACGTGGATGGTGCATCATCAAAGCAAGGATCAGGGGTTGGCATCTGTTTGAAATCAACAATAGGGGAAGTCCTTGAACAATCATTCAAGCTCGACTTCTCTGCCTCGAACAACGAAGCCGAATACGAAGCTTTGCTTGCAGGGATTCGGCTCGCCAAAGAAGTATGAGCGAAAAATATTCATGCCTTTTGCGATTCCCAGCTCGTCGCCAGCCAGTTCAAAGGAGACTATGATGCGAAGAACGAGAGAATGGATGCTTACCTAAAACAGGTCCAGGAAATAACAAGACAATTCGATTCCTTCGAACTAACTAAAATCATGTGAACTGAAAATATAGCCGCCGACGCGCTGGCGGCATTAGCATCAACAACGGATCCTGCACTTCGCTGAATAATTACAGTGGAGATCATTGAGCAACCCAACATCCAATTATCCAAAGGAGCCTGCAACATGGTTCTTCACCAAGAAGAAGATGAAACGGACGACCCAATGGAAGTAGACGCCGAGCAACCAAAGCAACCTTGGCAGGATGAAATTAAGTCTTACCTATCCGAAGAAATAGTTCCGCAAGATAGATGGGCAGCTAGACGTCTCCGAAGGAAAGCAGCGCAATACTTCATTGAAGATGGAAATCTATTCCGATGGACAGCAAACAAAGTAATACTACGATGCTATAATGAAGCGCAAACAAAGAGGGTTATGGTAGAAACTCATGAAGGAGCAGGCGGAAACCATTCAGGATGAAGGGCATTAACATTAAAAATAAAAAATCATGGATTATTCTGGCCCAATTTGATCCAAGATTGTGAATAATTCGTACTATGGTGCGAACAATATCAAAAACACGCGCCCATCATCAACGCACCCACCGAGCTCCTTCAGACTGCGGTTCCGCCTTACCCCTTCATGAGGTGGTCAATGGATGCAATTGGACCAATGCCTAAATCAGGTCGCAATCAACACATTCATGTCATGACCGATTACTTCACAATGTGGGCCGAAGCTAAAGCATACCCCACTATAAAGGCAATTGACGTCCAACTTTTCGTATGGGAAATAATATGTCAACATGGTCTCCCATATGAGATCATAACAGATAACGGCTCGCCATTTATTGTTTCGACTTTCCGAAATTTTTGTGAGGTTTGGGGAATACATATAAGTTACTCGACGCCTTGCTACCCACAGGGGAACGAACAAGCGGAGGCTTCTAACAAAACTATCCTCGACGGCCTCAAGAAACGCTTAACTGACCTAAAAGGAAGTTGGTCAGATGAGCTAGACGGGGTCCTTTGGTCACACCAAACTATTCCCCGAACGGTAACAGGAGAAACCCCTTTCTCGCTATCTCATGATTGTGAGGCTTTAGCCCCAGCCGAACTGCAAGTACCTAGTGCTCGGTGCACTTTGATGATTCGGGACCCTCAGTTGAACGGAGAAAAACTAATCGACGCTGTCGACAACGCGGAAGAACTTTACGACAAAGATTTATTATGCATTCAGAATTATCAGTAGCAAGTCTCTAGATATTACAACAAGAAAGTCCGA